TAACCAGCCTCCGAGATTTGCTCCGTGAGTTGGGGGATTCTCAACAGTCTCCTTTTGACCGGGTCCTGCGCAACCAGCCTGAGCTACTCCTGTTAGCTCCTTGTAAATGAGGTCCGGAGCTCTCCTCCGTGACCTGTTTTGTTGACGCTCCTTCCTTAGCAAAAACAGCCTCCGGCTTCTTTTTGACTCTTTTCTCAAAGATTAATTGCCAATGGGCTTACAGTGGCCCATAGTCAACTCTTATCGTTCTAGCCCATTAGTCTCAGCTAGCGGGCCATATTTGGGCCCAACAGTAACCCCTACAAATCCAACACCAAGGAAGATAAGTCTTTTGACAATCCAAAAGAAGATATTAAAGGGTACCAGCGAGATAATGACAAAGGCAAAGCACCAGCTACAAGAACCAGAGACCTGAAGTGCTTCAAATGCCATGGTTTTGGGCACTATGCCAACGAGTGCACCAATAAGAAGGTCATGATCTTGCTGGATAACAGAGAACTAATCTCAGAGGGTGAGAGGGATGAGGCTACTGAGAAGGAAGCTGTAGACTATCCAGTGCAAGGAGAGCTTTTGGTTACTAGGAGATCCTTGAAAGTTCAATCAAAACCAGAGGAACATGATCAGAGGGAGAATCTCTTTCACACTCGTTGCACTGCCTATGATAAAGTTTGTAGTTTGATTATTTATGGTGGGAATTGTACTAATGTTTCCAGTGAATCTCTTGTAGAAAAGCTTGGGTTGAAGACTGGAAAGCATCCTTAACCTTACCTGCTGCAATGCCTGAATGAAGACGGCGAGTTAAAAGTCACAGAACAAGTAATGGTTCCTATAACCATTGGAGATACCAAGATGAGATTGTTTGTAATGTTTTACCAATGGATTCTAGCCATATCTTTTTGGGAAGACCTTGGCAGTTTGACAAGAAGGCCATTCATGATGGGTTCACAAACCGCCATTCTTTCTCCCACGGAGACAAGAAGATTTTTCTTGCACCGTTGTCACCACAAGAAGTTCATGCTGGTCAACTTCAGCTCAAGCTCAAGCTCAAGCGAAAAGAAGCTAAAGACAAGGTGAAGCCAGCTGAAGGAAAGAAATAGAAGGAGGTACACCTCATAGCCAAAAACAGTGAGGTCAAGAAAGTTATGTACCTTCAACAATCTATGCTATTGTTTGTTTTTAAGGGTGCACTAACGACTTTTTCTTACCTGGAACCGGTGCTACCAAGTGAGCTTAAGTTTCTCTTGCAGGAATATGATGATGTTTTTCCAGAAGAAAACCCCAATGGACTGCCACCAATCAGAGGCATTGAACTCCAAATAGACCTAGATCCTGGAGCATCTCTTCCCAATCTGCCAGCTTATAGGACCAACCCGGAAGAAACCAAGGAACTCCAGAGACAGGTTGACGAGCTGATGGAGAAAGGACATATCAGAGAAAGCATGAGTCAATGCGCAGTTCCAGTCCTATTGGTGCCAAGAAGGATGAAAGATGGCGCATGTGTGTAGACTGTCGTGCCATCAACAACATCACTGTAAAGTATAGACATCCTATTCCTAGACTTGATGATATGTTAGATGAGTTACATGGTTCATGTGTGTTCTCTAATATTGATTTGAAAAGTGGGTATCATCAGATTAGGATAAAAGAAGGAGATGAGTGGAAGACTGCATTTAAAACCAAACATGGATTGTATGAACGGCTTGTTATGCCATTTGGTCTTACAAATGCACCTAGTACATTCATGAGATTGATGAACCACGTTTTGAGAGATTTCACAGGTCACTTTGTTGTAGTTTACTTTGATGATATCTTGATCTACAGAAAGAGTTTGCATGAGCATGCTAACCACTTGAAATCTGTTCTTGAAGCGCTTGGGAAAGAGTCTCTGTTTGCTAACTTTAAAAAGTGTACTTTTGGAGCAGATCACCTTGTGTTTTTAGGTTTTGTTCTTACAATTCAAGGAATTAAGATGGATGAGGATGAGATCAAAGAAATTCGAGATCGGCCAAGTCCTAAGAATGTAAGTGAAGTAAGGAGCTTTCATGGGCTAGCTGGTTTTTACAGAAGGTTTGTCAAAGACGTCAGCACCATTGCAGCACCTCTTACTGAAGTTATTAAAAAGAATGTGGGATTCAAATGAGAGAAGGTACAAGAGGATGCATTCCAAGCACTAAAAGGGAAGTTGACTAATGCACCTTTGCTTGCTCTTCCTTACTTTTCTAAGACATTTGAAATTGAGTGCGATGCATCTGGTGTAGGAATTGGAGCAGTACTGATACAGGAGAAAAGGCCAATTGCTTATTTCAGTGAGAAGCTTGGTGGAGCCATGTTGAACACACTACAGGAAATGTGAGTATTAATAGAATTAGATTATAGCGTTTTTGACATTTCTGCTATCGTATACCAACACTTACTTTTCTAATAGCGTCTGTCAATTTAAAACGCTATGTTATTATCGCGAGAAAATAAAAAAATTTAGCCGCCTTAATTTACTAAGTGTTGGCTCCAACAATTAGAAAAAAAATATTACAACCAAAACATTTATCAGATTGACTGAGATGGCTTTGTATTGTTTCTCCACCCCTCTCTCTCAAACTCGTCGTCTCCATCTCTACTCTGCCGTGTTTGCCGGTTGGTTTGGGGGTTATTAGGTCTGGGTTTCAATTTGTCTTGACCATTTCTTTCTGGGTGTTACGATTTTTTTTAACAATTGTCGCAGCCTTTATACCATCTCCTCAGCTCCTGGCGGCGTTGACTCACTTCTGGCGAGTACTTGCTTAAGCTTTCTCCATCTCACTCGATCTCGATCTCTCTCCATCTCTCTCAATCTCAAGTTCGTTCTCCATCACGAGCCCTTCATCTCAAGCTCTCTCTTCTCCTCCGACGCAGACCACCACGAGCTATCTCCGACAGACCCATCTCAACCCATCTCCGAAGTCTCTCTCTGTGAGGTAACTGTTTCTTTGACGTTTACTTCAATGGATTGGTGTTTTTTGCGTCAAGTGATGAAGGTCAACAAGTATCACAGTTCTGGCCTTTACATTTTGATGGATAACAATTTCTGTTTGATGAACATGATTCTTTAGACAGTGATACTTTTTGTAATGTAAGCAAAACTCTGTTTAAGCTTGATAGATAAGATAAGATGATCAACATATCAAAACCAGTAAGCTCTCTGTTTCATAGGTTTTAAGATGGTTCTTTTTCCAGAGGTTAAGCTCTATAAGATCTCAAGTAGCTTCTTTGATCAGATTCATGTAATGTGTTCATTCCGATGAAAATTAATGTTTGCAAGGTAGAGAGTCTTTGATTGATTAGTTCTGTTATGTGACTACATTAGTTGAGCATTTGTGCTCTCTTTCCAAGTGGGTTTAAGTCACAGAACGTGTACTGTCGTTTGCCAGCTTCTAAAGGTCTGTTCATTGCTTATTCTTTTCTTTTTTTTTCAGGTCTCAGGCTCCCTCATATGAGACTCTCTCAAAGCTTAGAACCTCTCAAAACTCAGGTCTCAGGTCGTTTGAATGCTTCTTGAAAGCACCTTGCTTATGTGATAACTTATCTAATTTCTTCCTGGTGTAAAATGTCTATAGGTGGTTCGGAAGGTCTATTTGCGGAAAAGACTGGAGATCGCATATGATATACTCCAGACTTACAAAAACCAAGGTAAGTTCTTCGATGAAGGCATTGTCATGGTATACTTAGAATCTTTTTCATTACCTTATTCTGATAAGTTGGCGATGAAATGTATATTTTAAGGTGGCTATGATTTTCTCCAAAGAACCAAGGATCAGATCAGAACCACTGAACAGGTTAATGCTGCACTCAAAGCTTGCACTGATTTGAAGCTAGATGGCCTTGTTATCCTTGGAGGTATACCTAACGTCTTTATTTATATCATTGGCAAAATAAATTTTGTACTAACTAAGATTTTATATTGGGGCTTTTTGAAGGTGTGACATCAAACACAGATGCTGCTCACCATGCTGGTTTTTTCAATGAAGCAAAGTGCTCAACAAAGGTCCTAACTGTTCTTTATCACCATATCCTTTTTTCCACTAATTTTATATATTCAAAAACCCTTCATGAAGCACATTGGTCGTTCAGTTTCATTGCAGGTAGTTGGTGTTCCAATTACTACAAATGGAGATCTCAAGAATCAGTTTGTTGAGGCAAACGTTGGTTTTGACACCATATGCAAGAGAAGGATGACACTTTTTGTGACCAGATCAGTGAATGTGTTTATGTGTATATTGTCATAAAGTTGCTTTCTCAATTTTTTTATTTATTTTATTTTATGAGTGTCAAATAAAATTACATATAACATAATTTTTATTTTAGTTGATGACTTATTTTCTTTGCTTATAAGTTTGATTATCATTACATTTTAAATATTTCATCATAAAATCTAAAGATAACACAACAACTAATACTAATAACAAATTAGAGAAAAAACAAAAATAATGTTTTTTTACCTCAACATCTAAACCCCAAACCTTAGTATATACCAAATTATATAGAACATTTTAAACTTAAATATTATATATTTATTTAAAAATATATAACTATATAGGTCATAAGTTTCAAATACAAAACTATTAATCTAATAGCATAAACCACATACTCTTAGCACCAAACCCTATAACATAAATACAAACACTAAATTTTTAGTCAAAGAATTAAGACTAACCCTTAACATTACACTTCAAACCCTAAACTCTACATCCAAATCTTAGTTCAAACTATCAAATTATTAACAGTATTTAATTTTTCACAATGCTATAACTGGTAGTAGTTTTAATAAATTACAATTTATAAAAAATATTTTTCTATTTATTTGTATTTTGTATTAAAAAATTAACAACACCCTAAACCCTAAACATAAACTTTAAAATTTCAATATTTTGTAATATAACTTCAATCTTAAACTTAAAATCAAAATTTAATCATTTAAAAATATAATCTCAGATTCAAAATCTAAACCTCAAACAATAAATCTAAAACTACACTCTAAACCTAATACCCTAAAACCCAAACTAAACACTACATATAGAGTCTTTAGTCAAACACAAAATCATAAATCAAATCCTTACAAACTTATAATTTAAATTCCAATTATTCTAAAACTTAAATCACATACTTAATCCTAAATCTCAACCCTAATTCCTAAACCACATATCTCATTTTAATATATATCATAAAACATTAAATCTTAATTTTTAGAAAATTATAATTCCATAAATAAATTAAATTTTCAAATACAAAATTTAGATTTAAAATATTAAATTATGATATGAAATTATTTAAATTTTAGATAATTTTTCTAAAATTTATAAATAAATAAAAAGACAATTTGTATTATGTTTTTTTGAACCATTGATTAATTTGAATCAAATGTCCAAAATCACTCTTGTATCAATCCTCACCCTTTTTTCTATTGGTGGTTGTTGTTGATGGCATGGATCACTATCGGCACTCTTGGATGATATTGAATCAATGGCTGAGATTAATTGTTTTTATTGTTAATTTTTTGTGAGATCTACGAGACAGAGAAACGAGAGAGAGAGAGAGGGGAAGAGATGGAGAGAGAGAGAGAGAGGGCTTCGACACCGAAGCTGACGACTACTACAATCTCATCTTCTCCATCTCTTGAAATCCTCCGCAGAAAACTCCCTTTCTCAATCCATCTACCCTCATCATCATCGTCTCTCAGTCCCCAGTCTCACCTTACTCTCAAACCACCGCTAGAATCCCTCTCGCCGCTTCTCTCTCCGTGCCCAGAACGACTTTGAATCGTCGCTCTTTACCACCACCATTATCCAGGTTGACGACGTGCAAGCCTTGTGGAAAAGAGACGAAAACGACGATTCAGTGTGGGTATCTTTTGACTTGGGATTTTTTTGGATTATGGTTTCTATTTTCCTCACTATTTTCTTTTGCTATAGGGTTTCGATTTGGTAGACTATTTGTTTTTGTATCATTGGGTCTCGATTAGGGTTTCAGTTTGATTTTTTGTTAAAATTTGTGTCTTTCTTTTGATTAACGAGTTGTTTGATTGTCTTACTTAAAGTTGTGTCTTTGTTTTGATTAATGTGTTCTTTTGATTTTTTTTTTATCAGGTTTTTCAAGGATCTGAGATTTTGATGAAGTATCAGGTCCTTACCTAATGGGTTTTGATGTTGTTTCATTCTCTTTTAACAGACATTCACAATGATTTACTTTCTTCTTGTTTGCTATTGAATTTTCAGAGTATTGACTCATGAATGTTGGTGTGTTGGGTTTTAATTAATCTTACAGGGAAAGTAAATACACGGCATGGACACTTGCCAATGGCTATGCACTTAACCAAGTCACTATCTCTGTCCAGCGGCTTAAATCTCATCCAAACAAGAAGAAGAGAAGAAAGTGACAGGAAGAAGAAAACCTCAGATTAGAGCTTAGAGCATGAACAACCTATGATCCTTAAACAAGTTTCTTAATGATTATTTAATATTTTAATTGTACTTAGTTGGGTTAAGAACTTTTGTTAAGAAACTTCCATTTTAGAGCGGTGCAATGGAAGTTTCTTAACAAAGGGTTTTTTTTAAAAAAAAATTAGTTAAAATTTATTATTAAATAAATTATATTACAAGATAACATTTAAAAATACAGATTTTATTTAAAAAAAATAAATATTAGTACAATAAACATTATTATTTTGAAAAGCATTCAAGGTCATTAGTTGTTTTTATCACGTTCAAATTTTCTCCATAAATGTTCAATCAAATCAGCTTTTAATTGTTGATGCATTTTTCTATCATAGATTCTAGTTCGCACACCCAACATATTGGTGATATTTGTGAGCATATCTGTAGAATAATCGAGATCGACATGTGAACTTCTGGTGTCTTCTCCTTGTTGAAACTCTAAAACATTATTATATTGAGTGTATCCATCTTGTTCATTTTCTACTATCATATTATGGAGTATGATACACGTTCTCATAATATTTCCAATTTTGACTTTATCCCAAAAAAGTGCTGGATGTTTAATAACGGCAAAGCGAGCTTGCAAGACTCCAAAAGCACGCTCGACATATTTTCGGACAGCTTCTTGATGTTGAGCAAATAAAGCCGCTTTGGCTCTTGTGGTAATTGAATAGATTGGATAAAAGTTGCCCATTTCGGGTAAATATCGTCCGTGAGATATTAAGCCAAATGATACTTTCTTCCATTGACGGAAAAAGTGACTGGCGGAGCTCTACCTTCTATTATGTCATCAAAAACAGGTGAGCGATTTAAGGTACCTGGAGGTCCCAAAAATGCATGCCATATCCATAGATCGTACGATGCAACCGCCTCTAAAACGATTGTTGGTTTTCCAGAACCACGTGAATATTGACCTTTCCAAGCGGTGGGACAATTCTTCCACTCCCAATGCATGCAGTCGATGCTTCCTATCATCCCGGGAAACCCACGTTGCTCACCAATATAAAGTAGACGTTGAAGATCAGCTGGTGTTGGTCTTCGTAGGTACTATCACCGAATAAATTTATTATTCCTTCTACAAAATGTTCCACACATAACCGAGAAGTACTTGCACCGAGTCGGAAGTATTCGTCAACAACATCAGCCGCAGAACCATATGCCAAGACACGAATGGCTGCAGTGCACTTTTGAAGTGGAGAGAGACCACGCCTTCCGAGAGCATCTACCTTTTGTCGAAAGAATTCAACTTCATTGGCGAGTCGATCGACAATACGCATGAACAATGACTTGTTCATTCTAAATCGTTGTCGGAATAGATTTGCAGGATATGTTGGAGTTTCGCTGAAATAATCATTCCATAAACGTACATCGGCTTCTTCATGATGCCATTCAATATGAACTCGTTTTTTCCTTTGTTGCCTTGCATTTTCTTGCTCACCGTAATTACTGGAAAAATTCTCGAATATTTGATCAAAACGTTGCTGAAAAGGTTGCTCAAAATGTTGATCGAAATATTGATCAGAATATTGATCAGAATTTTCATCATCTACCTCTTCAAATGTGTTATGAGAAGAAGAAGCCATTTTTGTGATGGAGTGTTTATGAGAGATAGAGTGTTTTGTGATGGAGTGTTTATGATAGAGAGAGAGATAGAGTTTTTATGAGAGATAGAGTGATAGAATGTTTTCGAGATTGTTGTGTCAAACATACATATCGTTCTCCAGATTATATAGAAAAAGAAACCAAAACATACAAAACATACATACAAACACACATGACTCTTGTGGGCTCCTAAAATGACTTTGTCATCAAACATCTCGTGAATAATACATACAAACACACATGACTCTTGTGGGCTCCTAAAATGTACAAAGTCAAACATCTCGTGAATGCCTTGTACCACCACCTTGTGACTGTCTTGTACCTCCAGCTTGTGAAATAATTTCTACCACCATCTCGTGTCTGTCCTTTTAAAACATCTCCTGACTGTCTTCTACCACCATCTGCACAGGGAAATAAATAAGAACATGTTAAGTTAATCAAATAAAGTCAAGTAATATGAAGTAACAAGAATAGAACATATACAAAACACAACATGTTATTTCACTTAAACATTGAGATATACAACCAAACATACCATAATACATTGACCCGAACATGAAACAAAAGCAATATTCAGCTTGAAACAAAACATGAAACAAAAGCAATATTCAGCTTGAAACAGAACATGAAACAAAAGGAAACACAACATGAGACACAACATGAGACATATTCATGAAAACACATACTCGTTTTTAACATGACACAGACGAGTTTACATATCCCCAATTAGTTTCTTCTGTAGAGCTTCTTCAGCCTCGGATAGAGGCTCTTTTTTTTGATATGAGACTTTGAAGCAAAGCCAGCTTCTGAAGTTTTTCTTTCATGATCAACTCCTTCTCTTTAATAGACCACATGTCCTTAAACTCAGAGACAGCCTCGTGATCAACCATAGGTCTCTTACCAGATGCACGTTTCGCTGCCTTCACGCCAGGAGGACGTTGTGTAGCTTCATCTCCTAGATTTATAGCTGCTTGAGAGCTCTCTGATTGTGCTCCATCCTCACACCTTATCTTCTTGCTGCTTCCATCAATCCATTTTTGGTCATGTCTTAGCTCCTCCCAAGCGTGGTGAAGGTTAAACCTCTTCTTATTATCGTTGGAGT